CCCTCATTACCCCCACCACCCCTATACCCCCCTATACTCCAACCCCAACCCCCCAATATCCCCCCCCATCCCCAAGAGTTTCTCAGCGGATTTGGGCTGTACTCAGCAAGCGCAGTACAGCCCCCAACTCAGATTTGAAGAAAAATCAGTGGACGGTTTTTTTTTCTCTTTTTTCTTTTTTTACCACTGGCCGGCAGACCGCCGACCGGTCGGCCCAACTGGCCGGCTGCACTACGGGCGGCGGTCGGGGTCGGCGGTCAGCAGGGATGCAACCCTGTGGTCCGGGGTGTAGCATAGGGTGGTGGTCAGGCTGCAGGAGGTGCCTTTAGTACTCATCAATTGGGAGATCAGATGGAGTGCAGAGACCCAGGGGGGGGAAATAACCTCAAGATGATGGCACAATGGTACCATGACCTATGCTAATGCTAATGCTCAGATCGCAAGTCGTGATCTGCGCCGACGCTTAGCAGACTCACATGAACGTCTTCGTGCAGATACTACCCTAATGCTAATGTTAAGGACGACCTGGGCACAGGTGGGGTCCGTGCATATGCAGTCATCACGATTTCTCTTTTGTTTTTATTTTACTGTGTCTCTCGCGTAAGTATAAGGCTCGCCATGTTTGCAATGAATTGCAGTGGCATGCAGGCTGTACACTAACTTCGTTTCATGTTGCCTGGTATTGAGCTCTTCGGGATTCGATCCCGCGACCTGTTTTGTTTGCTGTGTTTTTTTTTGTGTGTGAGAGCCCAACTGGGCTTGATCCCTAGGTCTGTTTGGAGTAGTCTCTGTAGGCTAGCTGTAATACCACTAGGTCTCTCTGTTTTGTCCTTTCTGTCCTTGAGTTGTAGCTCGTTTCTGTCCTCCCCTTTTGCCAATTTTAGGTCTAGATTCGGCCCTAGGCTATAGGCTGTCGTTCCTAGGCTGTAAGCTGTCGAGTCAGGGAAAACAGCAGTCTACAAAAGAGTCGAGGGCAAGAAAAAATGGGTTCTGTCTTGTCATTTTTCTTCGATGCAGTGCTGCTGGAGCTCGCGTGCTGTTTGGGTGCTGCGTTATTTCACTTGCGGCATCATCTTCATGCTGCTAGGGCTGTCCTCCATAGCTGGTGCTTCCTGGCTCGTGTTGTGACGGCGCTGGGCATCAGGCCCTGAGTGCTGTGAGGCGCCTCCTCTTACCTGTGCCGTTGGGGATAAGACCCTTCTTTCAAGTGTTAGTCTACGTGGCAGCCATCTCTTTCTTCATCAAGCGCTGGTGCTCTTCTTCTTCGTCCTGGGAGCTACCCTGCCCTCTTGAGCGGACACTTCATCTGCAGTGGGCATCGAGTTTGGACTGCTGAGTGGCATGTCAGGTTCAGGAGGGTTGGTCGCGCTTGATGAGCTGGATAGGTTGGGCGAGCTGTAAGCTCGAGGTTGGGAGGAAGAAGAAGTCTCTATTGTTGGAACTCTCTTTTTCGTTGGTTCATGGATGTTAATAACGCGGTTGGGATTCTTGGAAATAACAGTGCATTGATTGGCTGGAGGGACCGGGATATAATGAGAATTGAGTAATTTCCATGGTTACCATCCAGACGTCCGGACCCC